TCACCTGGCCTTTTCTAGCCTTTTTCTCATTAAGCTTCCTGTTTAGTCAAATTCCTTTTTAAATGTATCCTTTTTAGCAAGGTGCAGTCATTACTATAATTCAGCTCAGATGAAAGCCATTACAATTCAAGGAAAGACTGTTAAGTGAATTTATAACTTGAATAAAATAAATTTAATTTTTCATTCAGAGCAAGAGACTTGAAGTAATTTACTTTACACCTGACTGCAGCAATTTGCCAATGAAATCCACAGTGAATATAATGTGGTTTGTTCATAAATGGAAAAGAAGAACTTGCATTTGCTGTATGGGTTGTCCTATGCTATACAATAAGGCTTGAAATCACTGGATTATCTGGACACTGATATCACTCAGGAACTACAGCACAAATGCAGCACTGTATGGGAAGAACAATGCCTGCTTCTGTCTTTTCATCCCACTGATCCTTCAAATATTTGAACAGTGGAATCACTTCATTGATGCACCATTTGGTTAAACCAGGGCTTAGCTCTCAAATGCTCAATGGATTCTTGTTTGTAGAGACTTGATGCTTTCATATCCGATGCTGTTATGTCTCTAGTACCCATTTCCATATTCATTCAGCTTACTTCTCTATAGTCCTCATTCTAATTATTGTCAGTGCTGTTGGCAACGTCTAATGAGGGATGAAGAAATGTTTCTGAGTTCCTGGGTCCGAGTGCTGTGCCCTGGAGCCATGAACTCCACATTTGGATAACATCCAAACACACACCAGCCCCTTACCGTGCTCTAATTTGCATAGAAAAGCAGCCCAGCACCCCAGACAAGTCCTGACCATTTCCCCGTCTCAGCAAATGGAGGAGGAGGGAATTAAGTCACACCTCACTGGGCACCTTTAAGTCAGATTGGAGCTCAGCTTTATGCACAGAGAAAACATCTCTGAGTCAGCATCTGGGATTTTGAAACCTGTGTATCCTTGCAAAATATATATATATATACACACCTCCTTGAAAAGCAATTCTGCCAAAAGAATCAAAGGCCCTGCTTTATTCAGCACTGTGGATACCAGATCAGCAAAGCACAGATAGTGACCCAGTTTGACTCGGTTCTTACTTGGTGCTCCTGCAGTTACACAAGCCAAGGAGCTGTTTCTGTTTATAGTGGGACCTGTTGTTTACACACTGGGATAAGGACTCTACAAGAACATACAGACAGGCTGAAAAACATCTGAGTTCATTTCAAACACATCTATATTTGAGAGCTTGCTGCAACTGAGGATTATTTATAGTGCTTATAAACCATAGTCATGGAGCAGGACTGCACCAGGCTACGTAGTGTAAACACACAGAGTAAAGTTACAACTCCTGTAACAAGGATGGGGAGGGATTTTACCACACGGGATTTGAAGAACACAGCTCAAGAACAGAATAAAATAGATGAAATATTGAATAGAAGTTCTGTTTTCAGCATATGTCTTTGCTTCCAGCTTAGCTAGAGAAGATTGCAAGAATTGGTTTTATTTTCCACACAAAACCCATTATATTCCTACACACACCTTGTTATTGCCATTTCTGTTTGGACACTTTCAAAAATAATAAGCTTTTTTCTTCAGAATTAAGGCAAGAAAATTTATTCTATTTTTTTTACACTTACTGCAGGTAATTTAAACCTAGGGATGGAGTCATCTGGAGGTTCAAGTATCTTGTCTGTTTATGAATGATTGTATCAGATTTAACAGACCCAAAACTCTACCATTTCAGAAATCAGACTATGAGAATTTCTTTCTTTAAAAAAAGGCCTTTTTCTTTCTGTACCACTGAATGAACATTTTTAGAAAGAAACAGAAATGGAAGTGAACTGGAAAGGTTAAATTCAGGAATAAAAGTTTTGAACTACAGCTTCAGAAATCACATAGAATTTACATCTGGCCCATATTCCTTTCAAATGTTGGAATCAGGACTGAAATTCCCATTTCAGATATGGAGGACCACAAATTGTCTGATTTATGTAAACAATCTACTTGGCTTAAAAATTATGTTTTCTGCATGTAGGAAAAATATTACTGAAAAAGTTTTGTACATTAACATTTTACAGGGCACCAGGAATTGAAAAGCTGCATTGTAAAGTTTTAGCACCTCTGAAAATCTACCTCAGAGGGTGAACCCACATGACATTAGAATGATAGCTGGTGAAAAATAAATTACTTAAAGTTTGTGATTCATTCAAGTTTGCAAGAATAAACCAGATGTTATTTGGTGTATTTCCCACATACAGCCTCCTCCCTCATAGCAATCCTTCCAGCATTTTCCTTTATTCAGTATTTTATGGGGGGGGGGAGTAGTTATGAGGTGTCTATCGATAGTAGGTTAAGTAATAAAACCTAAAACCCCTCACAGATATTCCCAGATCTCTCCAGGAGTTACATTCCTCAAATGACTGGAGCATGATGCATTAATATAATTACACTAAATTACATCTACACAGCTTCTTTCATCTCACTTATTCCCCAAGCAAATTACAAGCTGAATGAATATTCCACTCTCACTGCTCACAAGCCATTTAACAATAGGTTACACACATTTTGTCAGGTGATTCCTGTTCCCTGACTCGTGACCATGGATACCCCTATCAGAGGCATTCATCTCATCCATCTGAAAATTATCTCAGGCATGTAAGAGGCACTAAATCACATTTATTTAAATTAAAGCAGGCACTCACACAACTCTTGTTGCTCTCTTGCACGCAATTCATATTAGCACTCAAAGTAGAATGACAGGAATAGATTATAGAGCAATCACAGAACTTATGATGACTTAAAATACAGCTTTTCAAACTGGGGAGGTAGCTTCAGCTTCAGATGCTAAAAGAATTAAGGTTAAAAATTGGAAGAATAAAACAATTCCATGCCTCCAGAAGGAAGAGCCTTGAGCAAAGAGAAATGCTCAAGCCCAAGGGTTTAAAACTGCTTTTAGTGGCAGCCTGACAGGCTGAAAGGAATATCTTTTCCTTACTTTTTCATACTTCCTCAGTTCTTCCCCTGTGAAGCTGGATGGCAGCTGCAAAGTTCCTAACAGTATTTGATTTAAGAAAGCAAAAGTGACTAGACAGATGTGTATGCAATCTCTAATTTAGGGCTTGAAAAGAAAATGGTTGTTGGAGGCTGGTTGTAAATAGTTACATGATCCCCGTGCATTTCATCAGTGCACATGTTCTGGGTCTCTAGTGCCTCCAATCTTACTGCAAAAGTGACTCCAAAACTTGCTGGAGTCTGAATACAGCTGAACAGACCAGAGCCATAAATCATTTGACTGCATGCTTTACCCTTAAAATCGTAGGGCACAAAAGAAATTACCTTGTCAAAGCCTCTTAGAAAACAGAGCACACTTTTAAAGACTGCATCCTTATGTGCTTCACATAAAGTTCAAACTAATGGCAACAGCCCACAGGCATTAAGAGAAATAACAGCAATCAATGCTATTTTTAAAGGGAAGAGTGGGGGCGAGGGGTTAACATATGTGGAATTAGCTCTGGGCAAAATGAGAAGCCATTGCATCTAAAATCAAATGCATTCTCTGAAATAGACACCAGGGACCAAATTCCCGTGCAGACTCCTGCAGTCCAAGAGTTTCAGCAGAATTTGGCCTTCCTCTTAACTTAGCTTCATTAGGTCATTTCATGCCATCAGTTTTTATGTTGGACACCCTACGTACTGCACATCAGTTGTTGGCACTATGTAAACAATTTTCCAAATTGGAGGGGGAGGAAAGGGTGGTGTGTGTAAAAGGGAGAGGAATTTTTTCCCATTTAGAATAAAAGTGATTTCTAAGAAGAGTTCAAGGCAGAAAGTGGTATTTGTACCCTTCTACCAGATGTCACCACTGACAACAAGAGCCAGTATTAAATATCTCTCCATCAAATTCTTCTTGAAATTTTTCAGTGCCAGCTGGTCAAGAAACCATTCAAAAAACAGGGAAAGCTGAAATCTTCCACAGCCATTCTTAGCCAACAAACAAATTATCTTCTCTGCAAAACAATTATCTGTGGAGGACAGACTTGCAGAATATTTAATAAGAAAAAAAACTTGTAGCAGTAATTTTTCTTACATTTATATACTGCAAATTAAATAGCACCTCCTCCACAGAGAGGATCTTTTGCAATGGTCTTTTGTTGCCTTTTGATCAGCTGCTGCCATTGCTGGGTGCACTAAGGTTCAGTAGGTACTCTCCATTTGTCACTTTTCTGTCTGGCACCCTGATTTATTAGTGACTGGCTTCAGTGACTGGTTAAGTTTGTCTTCCATCTTAGAGGGAAATGCTTTGGAAAAAAGATGCCTTGGTGCTCTCTCTGACATTAGGACAGTCTCTGCACCGCCACCTCTTACTGTGCCACCACCTCAAGCTGTGATGCCACTTGCACTGTCATCCCTTGCCATCCCTTAATCCTGGCCATAATGACACCTTGTGCTGTCATCCATATGACTTGTCTTTCACTGTTCTGCTACCTCAAGGCACAAGTGAGATCCAAGCTGACAGGCTCCTCACCCAGCTAGGCTACAACGTTCGTGGAAGAAAATTGAGATGATCAGATAATATCCATGAAAAAAGTAACTAGCACAAAGGAACACGGGGAAACAGCACTGGCCAAACAATTCTAGAAAATAATCACTCCTCTGAAAGGGATTCTAGACAGGCTGAAAAGGGAAAAGACACTCTGCAGAAATTGCTACAGCGATGATGTTGCTATTGAAATTTTCCTCTCTATTCTGAAAGCAAAGATCGATCTTTCATGTAGGGCTCAGGGGCTTTTGTCTCAGAGACAGCTGGGCAGATCACAACCCCTTTACTTCATACATACCCAACTAAACAGGTTGTCAGAATCTTGCAGAATTGTAAGATTTTCTCTGGAAACAGAGCAGATGAAATACCCTCCCCCAACCAACTGTTCTGATGGATTGACATAATATTATTTTACCTCCTATAGCAACAAATTCACTGTGTGGTTTTTTTTCCAAACAACAACAGATCAGATATTCTGGAGATAACATGGCTATTATTTTCCCTGATTGGTTTGCTATGCAAACAATACCTGAGCAGTTAAAAGGATACTTTTAATTTTTTTCTTTTTGTTTAGTGCTCCAATGATGAAATTCTATCACAGAGAGTGTCTACAGGTAAGATAACAAGTTATTGCTTTTAAACAGTCATTAAAGACACTTCTTCAGAAGTTATTGTGCTTCATTTCATCTGACTCTTCAGATCAAGCATATCAGATAGTGGGGACTTTTGTCTTGCCCTACATCACATGAAGAAGCTGGTGTTTTCTGCTTAAATCAGAGGAAATTTGACATGACTCTGTTCTTTTTGCCTATCTGGCCACTTATCTTGTTTCGTTTGCAAATATCATATGTATTCTCTTGAGATAAAAATAGTGCAAGATGATTAGTTAGGCAAGTTCATTTGACACCATTCCCCCTTCGTGACGCTGAAATCTAAAATCTGTATATGGTATACAACTTAAAGTATATATATGCAAGCTCAGCTCTGCTGGAGACACACTGCAAGTACCTTCCTCCCAACCTGACTGCTTCCTTACCCAGTCAAGAAGACCACAAAGGTAAGCTGATTACATCTTCTGCTTTCAAAGAAACACAAAAGCAAAATTAAAGTATCTATTCTTATTTCGGCTTCCAGGATGCTGTATCTTTACAAGCTAACATAGAATAGAATCTGAATTTGGATCAGAGGATGGAACAGGCAGGAACGATGTCCCGTGACAAAAATGCTGTGATTTTTAGGTTATCTTTCAACTCTTCCCCTTTTTAATCCTGTTGGCAGTGAGAATTAGGTGAATGGATGAGCTCAAAGTTACATTGCCTAATGCTGAGAGGGGGAAATATTTTGCACAAGAACCCACTGGGACAAAGTAATTCAGTAGTAAAAGAGAAGTAACCCAGCTGCCTGAGCTGGGGAAGGATCCATTGCCATCAGTGGGAACGTATGCCATCGCTTTCTTAACCATTTCAGAGATATTCAGAAAGGAATTAAAATGATTGACAATTTCTTCTGCTGCAAACCAACAGGTAGAGAGGCAGCCATTTCATATTTTAGAGAAAGTTTAAACCTGTGTTTAGATCTCAAACCAGTGCACAGACTACAAATGGGTATCACTAGTTGATTCCTTCTCAGTCCGTGCTTAGACAGGAAGAATGATGTTGCTGAACACCACTTAGGGATTAATGAAAATATATTTCTATTCTCTCCTGGCTTTCAAGAATCACTTTTCTATGCCTTAGTCCCCTTCTTTCACTAAAATGAATCAAGAGTAACATTGCAAGTTTTAAACTGTAACCTGTCTGCACTGGTGTGTGCAGTTTACTAAAGTCTAACTGCATCAACACATTAAAAATTGATTAGAAATTTAGGCATTATAGCATTTTGTTAAGTGATACACATTGCACCGACAAACTCTTGCAGCTGTTGGTGGCTGAATGGGACAGAGTATTTTTCTCACATGAAAAGCCGCTGTGTCAGAAGAAAACACCTCCTCCACTCTACTAAGAATGAATATTAAGTCATGATACTTCTGTTCTAAAGACAACAATCTACTGAAATACCAAAATCTGGGCAAAAATATGGTTTATTATAACTTATATGGAATGCAAAAAGAAAATTACCTCAGAAAATACTGGCAAAAACCTTTTTTACAAAGCTCTCATGAAATGTAGTATTTCAGTGATGCAGTAGCCCAACAAGACACATTTATCATTGCAACTAAACAGGAGAGGAACTTACCCTCCAAATTTACATGAGTAAAATTACTATTACTAATTCTACACTAATATTTTCATTCTTTGTGAAAATCACTACATCTGTTGATAATAACACTAGATTTTTCACATTCCAATTACTCCAGGTACAGTTCTAGGGGACATACCAGCCCTACCTCTTATGTGTGCTGTAAATACACTCTGGGTTTTACTGAGCAATAATCCACCTCCAGGAAAACCCACACAGAAGCCATGAAGTTGTGTGGTGCTGGACACCCTGGATGTGCTCTCCCAGTGCAGCAGATCCTCCGGAGCCCCACGCTCCCGCGTGCAGAATTCCTCCCTCATTCCCAGCTTTCAGTGGAGGCACCTGCTCCAGACATCTGTTACAGCCTGCTCCACTTGCCATCAGATGAATAATGTCTCCCCTATCACACACTGTCACTGCAGAACTTCAAATAGAGCCATGAAAGTAGGACAGAAGTCATTTTAATGACTAAGTAGCTCACATTTAATTTATTTTACAGTTCAACAATGGCCATCACTGACATCCTCTCTGCTAAAGATATTGAATCTGCTCTCTCCAGCTGCCAGGGTAAGGAATGGTTGCTCTGCAGACAGAAGATGCATATCATTTTTATGTCTTAAGATGACATGCCTATCATTTTCCACTCAGATTCCTTCCCTGTGAGATCTCTTTCTAAGCTGCATTACAGTATAGTCCCTTAAATTCAAAAGGTCTCACAAGTGGTGAACAGCAATTAAATGACCACCATTTCAGTTAGGGCTGCCTTCACACCAAGCTGTCAGTGTCTAAACCTGTTAAAGACTTAAATTTAAAGTTGGCCTTGTCCTTCAAAATTTCAGAAAAAGCCTCAGCTTGCAGAATGAAAGTGTCATTTATGAAGCAATTATCAGTCTCACTTCTCTTAAGAACTGTTCAGTAAGACCAAGCCAATTTTCCAAATACTCAAAGATCTGGTTTGTCTGTGAATTACTTACTCTTCTATCAAATTCTTCACCTAAGTAAGAACTCTGTGAAAATTAATGAAGAATTACAGGAGTTGTTTGTAAGTCACAGCAGCACCTTTTCAATATTTATTATTAATTGCATGTGACACATTGCATAAATCCTGATTTAGCAGAATGTGCACTGTAGCAGAAAACTTCAAACTGGCTGAAAGGAAACATGACCACGGGCACAGAGTGATTAAAAAGGGAAATTATTACCCACTGCATCTTCTCTTTTGCTACACCAGGGAACAAGAGAAAGAGAGCAGGCTGATGCTTTAAAAAAGACATACATATTCACAAGGAATACACACAGTAGTAGCAACTTCAAAGGAGAATATTTAACAACTTCTGTTTCTTCCAGCTGATGATTCTTTCAACTACAAGTCTTTCTTCTCCATGGTTGGTTTATCCAGCAAAACTCCTGATCAGATAAAGAAAGTTTTTGGAATCCTTGATCAGGACAAGAGTGGTTTCATTGAAGAGGAGGAGCTGCAGTAAGTACTGTTCAGCTGCTCTATTTCTTTAAACAACAAACAAAAACCTTAGTACTTATTTGGTGTCCTTGAAGAAACCCTTGATGTTATTTTAAAAATAGAACACAAATTCTGGTAGTTTCTTGAATCTGTGTGGACTCCCTCAGATAATAAGAGCAGACATTACCTTATGGGACGTTTCAGAGAGGAAAACTCAAGCACAGCACCCTGTTATATTTCAGGCTGTTCCTGAAGAATTTCTCCTCAAACGCCAGAGCCCTCACCTCGGCAGAGACCAAGGCTTTCCTGGCTGCAGGGGACACCGATGGTGATGGCAAAATTGGAGTGGAAGGTAAGACTGGAAAATTGATAAACTTTGTGGTTTAAATTGCACACATTTCAGGCTGCATTTAAACTGGGGCATGCAGAATTCACTCGAGTACTTTGGCCTGATACTTTCTGCCACAATTTTTGTATGAGCAAATACTCTTTTATTTTCATAGCTTTATTCCCATTTGATCTCTGTCGTAGCAACAGAATATTTAAGCCCAGTGTAAAGTCTGGTCTTCCAATCAATGATAAGAGCTTTGGGGTTAATCCTGCAGTGTTTCTGACCCATAGACTCAATGTGTCAGATTCTTAAAAGATTCAGAACACCTGAAAGTCTCCGATTTTCTATTACAGCAGTAGATGTTCTGTACTTCTGGCCATACAATATTTCCATTTTTAAACACATGTCTGACTAAAAAAACTGATTTCTTTGTCTCCTCTCAAACATTGGCCTCTATTACTGGGTGCTTAATGCACTAATGTAAAATATGACTGGTATTGTTTCTCAAGGCTGCAACTGCAGCAGTGCAGCACAGGATTTTCTGCTGGAAAATTATCTGATAAGTTAACATGTCACTGGGCAGTTTCCTCTGAGAAACTCAATCAAATTCCTGAAGAAAACCTCACAGGGATGATGTGAACTAGTCAGGATATTTCTTTTAGAAACTGCAACACAGAAAAATAGGACATTATGCATCATGTATTAGAGATGAAGTCACTGAAAACAGGGCTGTCTCAGCTGAACTAGGACAGGTGGCAATAACTCCAACAGACACACGTGCTAATCTTAGCCAGATTTGGGAGGAGAGAGAGATCCACTGTTGGAGGAATTTGCTTTAGCAGCAGCTTTAGCAGCTTCTGTTTATGAGCCCCAAATAGGGCATTGTATTTTGCAGATCTTGGCCCTTAACCATTGAATCTCCCATTCTGGAATTACTTCACTACAGATATTTTCTATTTGGAATAATAAAAACTCTCACTGAGAGCTACAGGCTCCTCTTCCTTGGCTATTATCAGAGTTTGTAATGGGGTAAAGATAGTTTACCTTTAAGTCAGGATTTCCCACAAATACAAATTTACAGACACACTCCTCCTCCCTGCACTTACTCTTTTTAAGGAGTGAAAAATCTGTTACGCCCCCAGAATCTCAGTTTAGCAGTAGCTTGTGCAGTGTTATAATAACTTTGGGAGCCCTCCATGCCTAGGAGTTTTAGTCATTTCTATCTATCTATCTTTTTAAAGATGTCAAGAAACTACTTTCATCAAGTTTTATTCCCTGCTTTTTTCACTTTCTTCCTTGACAGAATTCCAGTCTCTGGTGAAGGCATAAACAGCATTAGACCAAAGGCAACCTTGGACTGACTCCGCCAATTACCTCGTCCAGCAAGCACTTCGCACTCAGCATGTGTTTGTACATTTTTATATTGTTTCAGGCATTAACAGTTCCCCACACATGAAGCTCACACACCGGATTGCTGAGAAACCTTGCAATGTTTTGGTCACATGGCATTGTTACATTTCCATTGTAAAGAAGGCACTTTGTGATTTTCCACCACTGCTAATGTTGATATTGTGGCTGGGAGAGGGGAGAAGACAATTAAAAAATCAACTAAACAAAAAGACCCTCGGGAGAAAAAGCTGCTTTTAAAAATTTTATTTAGATTCTCCATCCTCACGCTTGAGCATGCTGACTCACCAGACACAGTTTTGATGATCTTAAACCATATCATATCTTCTCAGGCTTAACTGTACTGATTTAATTGAGGTTTATTTCTGTTCAATTCTCTGATACTTGAGGAAAAGCAATGCTGAAAAGATAGCTAAAAATAATTCATATTAAGTCCCAACCCTGAGAATACGAGAAAAAATTAAGACATTTCAGAGGAGTTCACACCTAGCTTGAAGCACAGAATAAGTTTGTGGGTAATTTTCCAAAATAAAGAGGTAGACCACAGCATAATCGTATCACCAGAAAGTGTTTATGGCCTAAAATGTGTCTCTCCCTTAAGAAGATTTATCTTGCATGAAATCTAAGGCAGCTGTGAGATAGAGGAGAAGGGTCTAATCCTACTCTGACACTGTCACAAGTCATGGTCCCCTGACAACCTGGGCCACAGGCCTGGAGGTTTTTCCATGAATCATGAGCCTGTTGCTTATTGTCTCTTAAAATGGACAAAACAATAATATTTGCCTCATCTGTGAATTTCTGCGTTTCCTATGGATGAAACTACAGCCAATCTTGCTGTTTGGTTATCCTAAAGCTCTTACATTGTTAAATAATGGCCATTACTCAAGTCTTTCATTTATTATATGAATTATTATCTATGTGTTCCATAATATCAGCAGTTTTCTTCAGTCTGAAAACTAAGAACTCATCTGCCCTTGAGAAGTGTCTTCAGGATTTAGAGTTGATTATAGCATTGTCTTCATTAATGGACAAAGTAAATATTGTTCATGGCTAAATGCAGATGTCAGCAGGCTGAGTAGATGTTGTGCATCTCTGGCTGAGTGTGTCAGAAATTTCCCCACCCTGATTTAGCTGTTTCCTTCCCCATGTCCCATGCTGTGGCTCCAGCTCACAAGCAGACTGTAGTTTTATTGCTCTTCACTAAAACTGAATGATAATTATGATTTGGCAGCTGTTTTGAAGAAGAGCAGAAACAAAGCCTTTGGAACTTTTATGTAACAGCCAGTGTTGGCATTTCCATGAATTGCAAGATGATTATGTGAGGCAAGCACAGCTCCCTCATTCCCAGGCATGTAAGAGAATCGGTCGACCGATTTAAGATGGTAAATGCAAAAGAGGAATACTAGCAATCAGACTCACTGAAGCCTTGGCAGAATTATAATGAATATAAATCCTAATTCTATCCCCACTGCCTTTGATGTTAAATCTGGGCTTAAATTGTAGCTGCTGTTAATTGCAGCACTGAAATATTTTGCATAATGATGAGACTCTGGTTCTTTTTTACCTTAATTATTTCCCTGTTGAAGAAAAAACCTGGGGCAACCCAGATCTGCAGCATTACCCAGATGTAATATATACATTGGCTCTCCACACTGCTGATCACTAAACTATCCTTCACTGTATGAGCAGATGGCACATGCAGTACCAGAGGTGACAGACCTGACACTGCATTCCTTGCACCTCTGAGACTCTCATGTGGAATGCAAGAAATGCAAGACTGCTCAGTGGCCCATCCTGTATTCCAGAGATGCTGAACAACTGCACATCACTGCCTGGTGCTGCCACAGGGGAATGAAACACTCTCAAGAGTCAGGAAATCCTTGTGTGTGCTGCAACTTCACCTATGCTTATAAGAAAATCCATTCTTCTTAAATAGTGGCAAGAAGATGTGTTTTAAATCTTATTAAAATTATCCAGCCATTTCATTTGAAAGACTTATAATAAAAATCCAAGAAGTCCCCAATTAAAAAAAAAAAGCCCATAGGCTTCAGCAAAAATACCACCTACTCTCTATTAAAGCTTCTTTCGGCATTAGGATCCACATTTTAACCAAATTAGAAAAGAGCACTTTTCAACTAAAGGAAACAAACTCAAAAAATGTGATGTTTTCTGGCAAGGTTCATTTTAATTAACTTAAGTCAGTGGCAGCTTTCAGTTTTTTATGGAACATCATGGAGTGTTCTGTGAATTTGACAATGCAATCATGCTAGAGAAAAACTTCAATTGCAGGATGTCTGTGTGAATGCCAACTGAAGTACCAAAGAGACACATGGTTGGTATCACAATGTTACCATAATTAAGGTACAGAACCAGAGAGTAATTCCTGATGGAAAGGTCTGGAGGTCCCTGGTCCAGTCACTCCCTCAGAAGGGAGGGATGGAAGGACTAAGATGAGTTTGAGTATCATCAGGGATACAGGTTCTATAACCTCCCTGGTCATCTGATAAATAAGGATTAAATTCTCTGCATCAAGCTGCTATGAATGAATTAAATAAATAAAACACAAAACACTGCTGAGTACACAGTTAAAAACTAAAATTCTGTTAGAAATGGTTTATGCTACATCAAATCAGAAAGAATCTAGCAACCCCTGTTATTTTCACATTGATCACCTGCTCTCATGTTCAGAGAGCATCCTGAACCAGAGAGCATCCTACTCACTATAGTAATACTCAGTATAAAACTGCTTCACAGTTCCCAGCATAAAGGAAACATGGTTTGTATGTTTTACCTTCACTTAAGGCAATTAAAGAGCAACCCAAATTGTGAGTGGTAGATCTGAACTCCACTAGGACTGTGATTTCTCAGACACTTCAGTCCCTTGCTCACCCTGTGGGAGCAGTTTAATCTCTAATCCTCCCTATACTTCTTATGAAATAAAGATGTGCCATGATCCCTTTAAGCAGGAACAAAGCACAAAGAAATCTACAGTCCTACATGAGTTCCTGGAAAAAGGATACAGAGGGCCAGGGTAAAGATCCCAAACCCACCCTAGTGCTCCAGCCACTGAATTCACTATCTCTCTTAAACCAAAATTTTGGGTTGCCCTGAAAGAGGAGCAGAACCATGCATGAGATAAAACCTCCTGGTGTTTAGTGGAAGCTGGCTGCCCCCTAACTTAATGTTCCTTTGGACATCCCAGTCCAAAAGCCATTTGTAAACTTGAGATTCAATTTCAGCTCTCCAACTGCTTGAAATCTCAGTCATCTTCTAACAAGTAGAGAGCACAGAAAGGGCAAGGGGATGTCAGAACATTCATTGCACACATAGGCTGGTACAGTTTCTTCTTTGAGTTAGCAGCCAGCCCATGTGGAAAATCTTTGATGCAGCATCATCAGAGGTGCCTGGAACTCTTCACACAAACAGTGTGGGCAGAAGGGGCCAAAGCTGGATTAATTTCCTGGAATGAGTCTACTGAAATAGACACATCTTGATTAAATCCCTGAACAGACACATACCTAACATTTTCATGCTCAATTTTTCACATATTATAAAACATTTTAATAAGAGGATACTGGGGAGCATGACATAAAGTGTTCACATTTTATTAAACGTAATTTCCCCATTAGTTTTGATCATAAGCACAGAAAGATACCGTTATATTGGTCTGGCCTTTGTGGTATACTTTCTGCACAAATATCTACAGAGCTCATCAGCAGCTGAGATATGGCTACTCCAGAACTTTTGTTTGTCAGCATGTCCTACACTCGTGAAAACAAGAAAATCAGTCTTATATATCAAGCTTCAAAAGAGAAAAACAGATCACCATTCCAGTTACAATAGAAAAAGAAGGTACCCTTGGACAATGCCTTTCCCTGAAGTTACAAATTATTGACCCTTAATTCAAAAGGAACTTCTGTCCAAGAAGAATATAGAATATACAAATATTTGACTCAACAGGAATCACATCAGTTCCATCACAATGATGTATTGATCAGCTGTATTTCCTAGACACTGACTTCCTGCTTTAACTCCCAGGCTTCCAGAACAAATGGATTTTATATTTGCAATGATGTCCACAATGGACTGTAAAATTTAGCCAACATAAAAATAAACAGTAAACCCTGATTTTGTTAGGCAGATGAAGTAACACGTTCTTCTAATCATCATGAAAGGAAAGTCCTCAGGAATTATCTCAGATTTATCAGTCTAGTCTGTTTATAGTCCTGTTCTTTCAAGTGATTTCCTAGGCTAGATTATTTTCTTTTAAATACCTGTTCCCTCTTCTCTCTCCCTCTGATGAACAGCCTCCCGTTACCCTGTTCTCATCCTGGTCCTCGGTTTTCCCTCACCCTCAGTTCCACAGAGCTGTCAGGGCTGGACTTGCCTGTCTTTGGTGCCACCTTCGGGCAAGTGCTGGTTTGCCACAGAAATACTCCAAAACTCTTCATAATAAATGCTTTGTAATCTCAGTATGGGCTCCTCAAAAGGATTACTCATTCATTAATTCCCATACAATTATCAGATTTTCTCTGATCCCAGGCCATGCTCCTGATTATTTCCTAGGTACCCAACCCAAAGGCACAGCTAGATTCCCAATGGGAAAATTGAATTATTTAATTTATATTTCCACCTGTCCAGGATAAAATGTCTTTAAAAGTAACTTGTTCAGTTGATCTTATATCATCCAGAAAAGTTAGTTTTCACAATTTTCATTTTGCCACACTGCATGAGTTTGGAAATAACATAGTCAGTGTTTCTCTTAAAAATTCCTCTCTGGAAGAAATCAAGGGGAACTGAGGTAGATGAGGTTTTGTATTTATTTTCATGTAACTAATTTTTGAAAGACAGCTTTATGTTATAGTGATTAGAGAACAGGCTTTGTTTCAAATTTTCTTGTCACTCAAATGTTATTTAAACCTAAGCAATACTCCAGCCATGCTTATATATGTGTGAGTGTGAAATGTTCTCCCAATGGCTTTTTACACCCCTGGGCTATTTCAATTATTCTCAAGGCCATTAAGTTCCAATAAATTCCACGAGTTAACTGACTGGGAGTTCCCATTCATATCCAGTAAGAGAAAAGCTGCAGTTTGAGCTTAGCTGATGTTTGAGACCTTACAGAAGTTTGTCTTTTCAGTGCAGCAAGGAAGAAGCAAATATCATTGATTTCACTGCTCTGCTTCCCTCCTGGCCATGACTGATCCACTCTCCTGTGTCCTGCTGAGCAGCTGACAACCTTCATTTTGTAAATGGACACAGTTACTAGGATGATTTTAAATGTGCACCATGCAATTAATTACTGCTGAGCAAATGCTGTCAAGATGAGACTTTTATAGCTAACCAAAGATTGTATAACAACTTATTAAAAGTCATTTGGGCTGAAGAAGTTTTGTCTTTGAGCTTGTACTTGTATATCAGATATATCCATTACAAATGTATCAGTATTAGTATGTTTTGAAGACTACTAGGGCAACTGCAGGGTAGTGTTTCATAGATAATTCATATCAGGACTGGGCCCTGAAAAGTCAAAGTCTACTTTGAAGATGTCAATTTCTAGCTATCGTTAAACAATTAAAAATATATTTATTTTTTCATTTATACATTAAAAAATTCATTTCACTAAAATATGTGCAAGCTGAGAGGATTTACCTAGTATGGCAGTAAACCTTCCATATTGTCTAAAGCACCATGCACATTCCTTTGGGATATAAATATCAATCTGATTAGCTAGCAGGTCTTGTCAGCCACAGTAACTTATCCCCTGGGGTGTCTGAGCCATCACGTGCCTCTAGGACTTCTCTAAAAGGTCAAGAGGACTTAACTAAGGTCTATATAAGTCCTTCCCTATGTCATTTGAAAAAGAATTAAGTCAACAGGACTCTGCTGATTTTTTTACCTGACAATATTTTCTGTTTGTGGCTGGGGAAAACTAAGTGGCCAGGTGAGTTCCATGTTTCCTCTGGAACTTTAGAAGACATCACAATAATTCACACAAAAAATGCATGGAAATAACCGAAGATGCCCAAATGCCAGGAAGTTCTATAAATACATTTGGCTTTGTCCTCAGCCTGTACACCTGAAGATTTAACTGGAAATACCAAATGTGTGTCTGACCTGAGGATGGAGCAGCTGGCTCCTGCAGGGCAGCTCAGCTGCTCTGCCCTGGGACCTGGGCTCACCTCAGGGCACCTGCCCAGCTCAGAGTGCCAGAGCAGTG